AAGTTTGCTAAAGTGTCAATTCAGGTTTAATGCTGCAGCTGCTTAACATTGTAATCACTGCTTGTGCTGTGTTCATAAATCCAGGATTGACTGTTACATTGCTTAATTGTGTCGCTCATTTTACTAAAGAGCTGTGACTGTACATATATTACATTTTAATCCTAGCCATTTTGTGCCATTAGAACAGTGAACCTATCTCTGTGGATCATCTTATTGTTTACCTTCCGATGAAACATATGTCATTGGTTGTGTTTCACACTTTTATAATTATCTGAATAATTTAATTCAAAAGAAGTTTACCTATATTTCTGTTTGTCTGCTTTTTGTAAATTCTGGCTAAACATAGCATACGAATGAAATTTTTATACAATTTTAAGTGCATTGTACTTTTTGTTATTTTTGCCCCAAATTATTTGGTCATCCTGGACAAAATATACTTCTCTCATAATGTTTTGGATCATGGTCCCTGTGGTGGATGGTTGGAAGCCCCCATTGTTTGTTGTTTAGCTTGCATCCATGAGGGAAGAGAAAAGATTTTCTCTATGATGTTCTCCCATTGAAGCATATAAGGGAGTTTTTCCTGGGTGATAAAAGCGTTATAACAAAGAGAATGTTTTGACAGTTTAAGGGGTCTCTGTACATATCCCCAATTTAAGCAAACAATTTTTTTCTTTCAGCGTCCAATGCTAGTAACAAGCTTTGCTGACAGCTTGTGTGTGCCCAATTGCCAAGGTTAATGAAGTGTATTATATCTGGCTTGCCTATGGGGACAAAGCCTGCTTGTTCAGTTTAGACTAGGTCTTGTAGCAGAGATTTGATAAAGGAGCAATGACCCGGCTGCACACACCTTTCTTTTATATATTTGTATGAGTATACCTCGCATTGCTGCCTTATGGGTATGCCATTGTGTGGATATTGGGGAGGGATCAGATTCATGGTTATCAATTTTCTGAGGGTAAGTAGGTGTATTGAGTCATCTAATAGTGATAAGTTGATACTCCATGTACTAGGCATAGAGAGCAGAAGGTGGTGGTAACTGGAGCATGATCTGATCAGGTCTGATGCCCGGTGGATACATTGGACATATTGTACATATCTAGGTGTGAATACGTGAGGTAGACCGGGGACAAAAATGTGTAGTCCTTTGTGGCTGGGAAGAAGATCTGCCAGGGATCGTGAGGATTATGGCTATTCAGCAAATCAAAGAATTTTTTACTCTGATGGTGATGGTTTTTACTATGTGTCCTCATAATGCAGGGTATAAGGTACAGTTGAAGCCCAGCATAATATGATGTAGCCTTTACCCATTTTTGTGACTTTTTTCAATGCTTTGTTGAGGAATGAGGGTTGAGAGTTGTTGGGGGCATAAATCGAGGTGATCGTGACCAGAATCCCATTTAAAGAACCCACCACAATCAATAGTTTTCCCATTACATCTGCATAGAAGGCTTCTTGTTGAAATACCCAGTCCACGTGGAACACTATTGAAACACCTCTAGATTTATGAGGGGAGTAGGGGTGGTAAGTTTGAGGGTAATATTTTGGTTGAAATTTAGGAGGGTTGTGAGCACAAAAGTAGGTCTCCAGGAGGCATACTATGGCTACCTTTGACTTGTCTATCTCTTGGATCGCCTTTTAAAAGCACTTTTTAAGCCATTACCATTAATCAGAAAACATTTAAATTCAGTAGCCATAGCAATTAGCGGAGATGAACCTTAGTTTTGTAAGTTGATAATCAACCTTATCTCATAACTTTGGGCAGGGTTAGGATTGTAGTACATACAGCATGTGTTATAAACAGGCGTATGTATCTCAGGCATACTGGGTTGGCGTTAGTGGGGGTAGGTGAGAAAGAATGACAATACTTAAAGTATATACAAACACTCTTGATGAGAAGAGTACATATTGGGGCATAATAGGAAGTCGTTGAGCTTGTTTCCCAAATCTACACCCTGGGTGGGTGGGGGTATCGTGTGGAGTGAACTTCAACCAAATGAACCTTTAGTACAAAACAAAAAACATATTGGAAGCTATAAACCACCTACAGTGCCATATAGGAGAGAACAGAGTATAGATCACAGGCTGTTATGTGTTTCTTTTTTATATTTTATAAATTAAAGTAACACCCAATGGAGAATGTGTTGACTTGTGTTTGCTTGGTCCGAACTCGTTTTAGCCTCAGCAACTTGTATTTCATATTATTATAACCTATACATAAATATATGCACACTCACAAACAGGGATCAAGTGAAGACTGCTTAGGCTATAGATAATCCAAAGAAATCACTTGGAACCTACAGTAGGAACCAGGGATTATGAGGAGCTGACTAAAATAACAATAGCTTAGGGAAAGTGGAAGAACAGGTCAAATTGATTAAAGTGGAGAAATATGAAAAGGATTTGGCTGACCATAGAAATAATACAGTCAGGGATTTTTCTAAGACTGTGAGAGTAGATGATACATAAAGGACGAATGACCAGTATGATTTTAGGGAAAATGACTGAAATTTTTTTTAAATATACCTCAAGAGGTGAAAAAATTAAAGTTGGACTAAGGTTGCAGCGAGGAAAAGGGATAAAATTTAAAGGAGATATGATCCTCTCCGAGCCCACAGGAATAAAGACATTCCCCTAAGGAATCACTTTGAAGCTTCCATCTGAGGAAGTATTAGATAATAGACAGATTAATTTTTTAGGGAAACAAAAGAGCCTTCTTGTCCCCACAGAAGAGAAGATATAGAGGATACAGGGGAGGAGTTAGGATACAGCACCGGTTATAGAGGAAGAATGTCCAGCTGGATGGAGTGATACACTTATCATTAGTTGGAAAAAGATGAAATTAGGTTCCTAAATAAAGGACTAAAATTTGCCCCTACCAGAAAATTCTATTCTTTTTCTGCCTATATTGATATTTTAAAATATTCCAGAATACTTATCAGTAAAATATTTTTTTTGAAATTAACAAACATAGGGATGTAAATAAAGATAACGGACATACATATCTGAAGAAAAGATCAAGTTTTTATCCTAGAACATATCGAAAAAGTGCAATCAATATGTTTGAGAATTCTGTGGTAGAGGATTTTGAACTTTTAGAAAAAGAGTCATGTGAAGAAATGTAATAGTTTAAATTATAATGAGAGCATGGCCCTGTGGAATTAATAAAAAAATAAAGTAATAATAATCAAACCTGCTAACAAAGGGGGCAGTATTGTCATTCAAAATCCTGAAAGTTATTTAAAAGAATGCCATAGACAACTGGATGAGAAAGAGGTCTTAAGAAATTGAACAAAGACCCCACTTAAATTCAAGAGTCTCTCTATGCACTTTTGGATAAGGGTATGGAGGAGGGTATCGTTAATAAGAATGACTATGATTTTTTGAAAACTGAACATCCATGCATGCCCACCCTCTATACCCTTCCAAAGGTGCATAAAAATATACATAATCCACCAAGAAGACCCATTGTCTCGGGTATTTGCTCTTTCTCAGTGAACCTTTCAAAGTATGTAGATTATATTACCCTCGTACATAAAATATACCATTGATATTATTAGGGTTTTAAGAAGTATTAAATGGGAAGACATATACATCTTAGTTACTAGTGATGTATCATCACTATATACTACCATTCCACATAATTTGGGATGTGAAGTAGTACAAGAGTGTCTTGAGAAATCTGAGAAATTTTCATTACAGCAAATTTTATTTTTAATGGAAAGTATAAAATGGATTTTAAATAACAATTATTTTGTTTTTAATCAAATATTTTATCTACAATGTCAGAGTATGGCTATGGGGCCCAGGTCCACACCCAGTTTGTTCATGGCAGGCTGGGAAAATAAGTTTATTTATGCCAGCCCAGAATGGGGAGCGATCCTGGTCACCCACCGTAGATATATAGATGAACTGATTTTTATATGGAATGGGACAAAAAGTAACTTAATATCCTTTTTAAATGTAAATGTAAATGATTGGGGCATTCATTTTTTAGATTTGGAAATTTATGTTGGGGGAGGTGAAATAAAAACAAAAACTTTTTTTGAGAAAGTGCCAGCAACTATGTACTGTATAACAGTGGCCACTATACCCCATGGCTTAATAACATTACAAAAGGCCAGTTACAAAGGATTAGAAGGAATTGTACAAGTAATTATGTTTTTAAGGAACAGGCTCAGGTTTTAATGAAGAGATTTGGAGAAAAAAAAAATCCAGACAAACTTGTAACGGAAGCATATGATGACCTGCTTAAGCACAATCAAAGTGAGATATTGGTGGTAATGGAAAGGATGACGGGATTTATACCCTTGGTGTTTGATTTCAATAACCTGTCTAGAGAAGTGAGAGACTGTAAACAAACATTGGCACCTCTTGAAAAAAGATAAAGATTTTTAAAATTATTTTAATGCATAATCACCTTAAAAAAGAAGTAAAGCAGAATTTTTTAAATTACAGAAAAGGTTTTTATTCCTGTAACAAGTGTATATGATGCAGATAGAGTAAGAATAAAACTCTAACAGGGATAAATAAATTTAAAACTAAAAATGAGAGAGCATTTTACATTAATGATTTTACCTATTTTACTAGAGACGTAATTTATCCCCTAATTTGTTCATGTGGCCTGCAATATGTATGTCGCACAAACGTCCCTTGTATAAAAGAATAGGTGAACATGTGAATAATATTTTTTTTTTTTTTCAATGTGTTTTATTTAAGCATATTTTGGATCATTCGTATAAAGACAGAATACAAAGCAAAACATGGGATACAGAAGGAAGAAGGGGAAGGGGGGAGGCAGCTTGCTTGGTTACAACACTCGTTACAAATGTGGTAGAACAAACTGTGGTATTAAGTTAATATAGAAGAGACAGTTGACAATTTGATCAAAATGTTACATAACGTTGATGGTTATACAAGTAACAACCTGGTGCCATATAATGTGCTGGAACACTTAACACAGAAAGTAGGGGTGGGAAATCCCAGGGGGGTTGGTGCCTGATCTATAGCCCCTGATGAGGCTCTCCCTTCCTATAGTCAACCCAACTCTTCCACCGTGTTTTGTACCTACTTTGACTACTGGTTAGCCGGCTAGCCATACGCTCGTATGCATGAGTTGAGTCTAACCTGCCTAGGATTTCTGGTAATGTTGGTGTCAGAGGGGACTTCCATCTGTGCGCAATGGCAGTTTTGGTGGCCATTAAACAGTGAATCGTAAAGAAGATTGTTTCTTCAGGGAGGGTATCTGGGAAGATATGTAATAGGAAGCACTCTGGTGTCTGAGGTACTTTTACTCCCAGAATTTTATGAAGAAGTGCATGTATATCCCGCCATAGAGTGGTGATGTGTGTGCATGTCCAAAATATATGGTAGAGGGACCCCTCGCAGTTGTGGCATCCCCAACATCGATTGTCAGACCCCGGGTAGATATGGGCCAGTTTAGTGGGGACTAGATACCAGCGCATCGTTAATTTGCAGAATGTTTCCCACTGGTTAAGGCTGTGGGAAGCCTGTTTAGTTAATTTTTGGGCGTGATGCCACATTTCTATTGGGAAATGCTTTCCTAGCTCTGATTCCCATTTAGACATATACGATGGTTTTGTTAGCTTATTTTGAAGTAATAGTGTGTTGTAGCATAAGGACAATGCTTTAGTTTTTGGAAGTTTGCCCATGCATTTATGGATAAATGGCGGTAAGAGATTGGGTTCCCTTAGGCTAATCCCGCATTCTTGGATAATATTTTTTATTCTGAGGTAAGAGAATAGTTCCCGCAAAGAGATACGATATTCCCTGATTAAGTCTGGGAAGGGCTTGATGCCGTCTGGGGTCAGTAAAGAGCGAACTTGGGAGATCCCTTGTTTGAGCCAATTATCTAGTTGAATGTCTGACGTTCGGGCAGCCAGGGCCTGAAGTGGGGCTGCAAGGAGCAGGTCATTGTTTTGTAGGAATAGTGGGGTAGTTTGCTTCCAGTTTTGGAGGAGCGAGACCGTGGTGGGTAGCAAGGATTTAGCTTTGGGGAATTTTGACCCTGCCCAAAGGGACAGAGGAATTGAGCCATTGGGTGTGCAAGCGTTCTCCAGCGCCATCCATACCGGAGGAGAAGGTCGCTCAAGGATCGTGAGGCCCTGAGCCAACAATGACGCTTTATAATAAAGATTTATATTAGGTACACCTAGCCCCCCTTTAGCAAACGGGCGCCAGAGTGATTTTTGCGCTATTCTAGGGGGTTTTCGTTTCCAGATATGAGCATTAATCATGGCCTGAAAGTTCTTTAAAATTGGGTTTGGGATTGTAATGGGAAGGGTGCGGAATAGGTATAGGATATGTGGTAGAATCATCATTTTTATGGTGTGGATTCGCCCCAGCCAGGAGATCTCTTTCTCCTCCCAGGACTTAAGTTGTTGTTCTAGTCATGGATGAGTGGTACATGGTTTTCCTGTATTATTGCTGAGTGCCTCGCTGGCAATTTTATACCCAAATAGGAGATGGAGGAGTTCCGCCAGTCGAAAGGGTACATTATTTTTAGGGGAGATAGGGAGGTATGTGTCAGCCCAATCGCCATCGCTTGTGTCTTTTTGGCATTGTTTTTATAGAATGATAACTTTCCGTAATTCCCCAAAAGAGTTAGCAAGTTTGGCAAAGATTTCTCCGGACGTGTTAAAAACAGAAGGACGTCATCTGCGAAGAGGGCTATTTTTTGAGTCCCTATAGGGGTAGCTAGGCCTTCAATATTTTTGTCATTTTTTATGTGCCTAACCAGGGGTTCCATGCATATTATAAAGATTAATGGGGAGAGGGGGAAACCCTGTCTGGATCCGTTTGTTAATTGAAAGGGTTGAGATAAGAACCCGGAGTTAAATATTCTGGCTGCTGGTTTAGAGTATAGGGCCATGATGCCTTTCAAGAATTCTGATGGGATGCCTATGGAAGTTAGAACAGCCCTCATATAAGTCCAATTTAGGCGATTGAACGCTTTTTCCGCATCTAGGGCTAACAATATGCCACTTTGGTTAGTTTTCTGAGCCCATGAGGTTAGGTTCAGAAAGTGTCGTGTATTGTCCCCCGGTTGTCTGTTCGGGACAAAACCTGCCTGTTCTGGAGAGACCAGATCTTGCAGGAAGGGTTGGAGGCGAGTGGCTAGTAATTTGGCGTAGAGTTTTGTGTCTGCGTTCAGCAGAGAAATGGGCCTCAGGTTGGCGCATTCAGTGGGAGGTTTGCCAGGCTTGGGGAGTGTAACGATATGGGCTAGCAACATCTCCTCCGGCATGGTTCCTGAGTCCCTGAAGAAGTTAAAAAGGTCTGTGAGGTGTGGTGTGAGCTGTGTCTCGAATGTGGAGTAAAAGTGGTTAGAGAACCCGTCTGGGCCAGGGGCTTTATGTTTGGGTAACTTGTGTATTGCGTTTTGTACTTCGTCTTCCGTGAATTTAGCCGACAGGATTGCACTTTGTTGTGCAGTCAAGCGAGGTAGTGTTGCCTCTGTCAGAAAAGTGACTATTTCCGACTCTAGTGGCTGATGTAGTGTCTTGTCCTGTGTAAGGTTATATAGACCCTTATAAAAATTTGCCAATTCGTTCACTATGTCTTGTGGGTTAAATAGTTTTGACCCAGTGGCTGATGTCATATATGGGAGTTTGGATTGTATGTATCGGGATTTTAGCCGCTTTGCAAGCAATTTGCCTGCCTTGTTCCCTTGCATATAGTAGGCGAGCTTCAGCTTGCGGAGCTGCCGTTCCATGCCTATCAGGGACAGTTCAAGTAGTCTTTCTCTTAATTTTTAAATTTTTTGGGATAGGGTTTTAGTTGGTTTAAGTTTGTTGTCTTGGTCTAGTGTTTTGAGTTGAGAGAGCAGTTTATCTGATTCAGTGTAGGTTTTCCGTTTATTTATTGCACCCGCCTGGACTAGAAGGCCTCTTAATACGGCTTTGAGGGTCAACCATTTAGTGTCTATGCGGGTGGGGTCCGTTTGGTGGGTTTCAAAGAACGATGTTATGTTGGCCTGAATTTTTATGGCAGTGTTCTCGTTATCTATGAGGGATTCGTTCAGGCGCCAGGCACTGCGCCCTCGTGAGGGGAACAAAGCTCTGAACGTAGTGATTACTGGCGCGTGATCAGACCAGGTCCGGTCACCTATTTGCACCTCTATAATATTGGGTACCGTGGTCTTATCTACCCAGCACATATCTATGCGGGAGTATGTGTGGTGTACTCGTGAGAAATAGGTGTAGTTTTTCTCTGACGGGTAGAGAGTGCGCCATGAGTCATATAGATCGTGCGTATGAAGCAGTGTACTGAGGGTAGCGCTCATAGTGCTGGCGTGCTGTAGAGGGTGTTTACCTTCAATGCGCTTAATGTCTAATTCGGGGTCTAACGTGCAGTTTAGGTCACCACAGATGATAGTGTGTCCCACACGGAGGCTAGAAATTTAATTTAGCGCTCTCTTAATGAAGGAAGTTTGGGAGTTGTTAGGTGCATATATGGATGCGATCGTGAGTTTCATTCCGTTCAGTGAGCCCACTACTATGAGAAGCCTGCCTAGCTCGTCTACATAAGTGTTATCGGGGTGGAAAACCCAATCTACGTGGAACAATATTGCTACCCCTTTTGTTTTGTTTGGAGCAAGGGCATGGAATACCTGTTGGTATCTAGATGAGTTTAATTTGGGGGGGTTTCTTTTACACATGTGTGTTTCCTGGAGGCAAACTATGGCTGCCTGAGATTTGTGCATGGTTTTAATCACGGAGCTTCTTTTGAATGGGCTATTCAAGCCATTAACGTTCATAGATAAGCATTTAAATTGGTACGTCATTTTAAAGGGTCATAAAGCGGAGCCTGTCAACTAATGCATAACACATTTCAATAGCGAGTATGGGCCTTATGGTAAGCTGAGGAGCGGTGTGGAACTGGGTAAGCTCTGGTGTCTGGCTATATCTTATATAGTTATAAGTCATTGCAGCTGCCAGGAAGATGGGAAGGGGAATAACATGGGAACCAAAATTAACAAACATAAGTATATACAGTATCTCTCTGATTTGAGAGAATAACATGGGATCCAGAGGGGAGCCTTGGAGCTCCAAGTTCCTCGAGTTCCCTGTGGAGGGTCGTGCGGGGCAGGACCGCACCCGGGCCAGATTCTCAAAGTGGGCAGGTCTGGTAAGGGCAAAGACATGGGGGAGTGTAGGCATAGACAGCAATCTCACCTTCGCCCGGTATAGGCCGGTAAGGCAGTATAAGAAGACAGGGACAGCAGTCTTGCGATGTCGCAATCGGGGATATTGTAACAAACTTTTTTTGAAACTAATCAGTGAGTGCAGTTATTTCTCGGGGCTTCAACCTCGGCCCACGGAAAGCGGCCCATCCTCCATGTAATTACGTGTCATCCTATGGGGAGGGGGCAAGTGGGGGCCCTGCCTGTGGAGTGCAATGGGGGTATAAATGAGGTGGGATGGCTCTTGGGGACGCCTACAGCCACATTAGTTGTTTAGCAGTTTAGCTAAGCGTAGGGACAGTATCCCACCTTACTAGCTGATTACAATATATGACAGTGTGGCATACAGTACCCCACCGTATACCTTTTTTTTTTTTTTTTTTTTCTTCCCCCCACCACCCTCCCTCATTAAAACATTGTACCACCATGGGTTCACTATACAATACCACTCATGATGGCTGGAGTCAGCGACCATCATCAATGCATTGTCGCATGGGCCTGGCACGAGGCACAAGCCAGCTGGTATCAGTCCATGGGTGAATGGCTAATGTTCAGAGCGAGTGCAGCCACAGTCTTGTTGGGATGTCTTCTTGCGTCGTCGTGGGACTTGCTGGTAGGTAGAACCAAGGGGATGCTGTTCTAGGTGGGGTAATCGTTAGTGTTGTGAGCCAACCAACTGCCAGTCGGGCCGGGTCCTCTTCAGGGTGGGTGTAGGATCCGATTGCGACTGGGTAGCTTCTGAGGAGCCCCATAGGCCCCAGTGTTTCAATGTGGTTAGGCCTCCTATTGGGTCATCTATAATGTGGAGCTTGTTATTCCTCCAAATCATTAGTTTCGTGGTGAACCCCCAACGGTAAGCCTGAGCGTGGTTTTGCAAGGTCTTGGTAATAGAGGAGAATTCCTTCCGTCTCGCCATAGTGAGGGCCGAGAGGTCTGCGAAAATAGAGACGGCACTGTAGGCGTCGGGCAGCGGAGATTGGGCTCTGGCTGCCTTAAGAAGTGCTTCTTTAGCTTTATAATAATGAAAGCGCACGATGATGTCGCGCGGGACTTCCGCTCCGAACCTAGATGGTTTAGGAACGCGGTGGGCTCTATCCAGTTCCCATGTAGTACCGGAGAGATTAGGGGCCAATGTGGCACTTAAAGTTGTTATGTATGCTGGGATCTGGTCTGCCGTAATGGACTCCGCTACTCCCCGGAACCTCACATTGTTTCGGCGGGAACGGTCCTCCATGTCCGCCATCTTGTGCCATAGTTTGGTGTTATCTTCCTCCAATTTCTTCAGTTTATCCGCCAGCAGGTTATGAGCTGAGCATAGGTCGTCTGTTTTACGTTCGACCTGGTCGGTCCGGTCACCCAGCTCCTCCAGTTCTTGATGAATGCCCGATATGGCGGTAGTAAAGTCCTCTTTAATGGTAGACCTGAGGTCCATAAGCATTTGTTTAAGGTACTCTTTCGAGAATTGGGTGTCATCCGCTAATAATTGTGAGGGAGTCTTGTTGTAGAGATCAGATTCCGGAGACTGAGCTCTGCTGGCGGCGCCATCTTGGGCCTGTTTCAGCCTTTCTTTTTTGTGATGACGGACCGCGTCCGCTAATTTTGTCTGCTTTGAGGGAGACATACGGGTCCACTTAACCTTCACCTCCCGCTCGGGTGATTTTTGTTGTAGTTGTAGATAATCTGGCCCGGGTGGAGCTCCTACTCCATGCGACCGATCTTGCCGGAAGTTGGACACGCCCCCATGTGAATAATATTTTAAAGGACTATGAGCAACATAGCATATCAGCACATTTTAAGAAAATATCATAACATGAATCCGAAGTTGTATTTTTTGCATGCAAACAGTTAAAAAGTCATGACGAGGGCGTGATCATATTGTAA